TCTTTAAATGGCCATTTGGTAATATTTATCTTTTTTAAAATTTTATTTATTTTAGTTAATCTTCACCAGAGTATATTTTTTTCCATTGATTTTTTTAAAAAAATTAATTTTAAAAAAGCAATTGTTCCATTTAAATTTTCTAACAACCTTATTATAAGCTATTATTGCGGTTATCATTATTAACAAAATGATCACTCTCATTATAAATTATTGTAGTACGGTCCCAAGGGGTTGCTTGCAAATTGTTGAAACAAGAAATGCTAACTCCTCCAATCCATGTGCTAAGATAGAGGGAAACAAAACAATTGTGAGTGGAGAACACAGATGGGCCCCTAAGCCCAAGCGGGGAGTGAAGGGAGAATATGACACTGAGAGAGTCCTGAAGACTGAGAGCGAGTTAGCCGGTCCAGGCCTGGAGGGAAGAATTCTTGGGGGGGAAAAATGATTGTGAAAAGCAAAGAGGCGAGGAAAGCTCTGGCAAATGGTTTAAAAGGACTAGAGCGAGGCCTTGGTCAGGGAGGGCTATAGCTAAATAAGGACATGGAAATGTCAAGGTCAGACAGGAAAAGCTCTGGGAAGGCACGAAACAAACTGCAGATTGGAGTACCTCATCCCCAAGCCCCTTCTCCCTGGCTTGCCTCTACTCTAGAGCATGTTCTTCCACTCCAGCACTACTGGTATCTTTAACCAGGTAATTCTTTGGTGCAGGGGTTGTCCTGTGCAAATTGCAAATTTGTTTCTCTACCTGCTAGATGTCAGTGGCAGCCACCCCTCCCTGCTCCAGTTGTGACACCAACAGTGTTTCCAGACGTTGCCTAAAATCCCACCATAGGGCAAAATCACCCCCGATTGTGAACCACAGGTTCAGAAGTTAAAAAAGCGAAGATTCTCATTTTTCCTTCCTCTCTTGCAGCTAGAGATGGCCATGTGACACATTTCCTGCCAATGGAGCAAGAATAGATGCAGATGTCATAGGAAATGCCATGATGGCCAGGCAGACAAAAACATGATGGGCTTGAATCATCTCAGTAACGGTGAGAATAAAGGGGAGAGGACACATTAAGAGGCAAAATGGACCAACCCTAAGCAACTGGATATAGGCAGTGAAGAAGGTGTATCAAAGGCTAAAAATTATATTTCTTGTGAAGGTAGTACCCTAGACCAGTGATGGCGAACCTTTGAGCTCGGCGTGTCAGCATTTTGAAAAACCCTAACTTAGCTCTGGTGCCGTGTCACATATAGAAACTTTTTGATATTTGCAACCATAGTAAAACAAAGATTTATATTTTTGATATTTATTTTATATATTTAAATGCCATTTAACAAAGAAAAATCAACCAAAAAAATGAGTTCGCGTGTCACCTCTGACACACGTGTCATAGGTTCGCTATCACTGCCCTACACGGTACACAAAAGAAGGAGCATGTTTAAAGAGAAGAACAACATTCCATTCTAGGCTAGGTTGAATTTCAAATGCTTATGGCACATCCAACTGGTAATGTAAAAGGCATTGAGATACACAATTTGAAAGTCAGAAAAGAGTAAGATAGCAGTAATTTAAAAAATATGTGTATGACAGAATTCAAAAATTTAAGTGCCAATAAAATAATGCCACTTATTACTTAAGTAGTATCAATGAAGTATAGAGTACTTAAAATATAGCTAAGCAAAAGAAAATTAAAAATACACAGACAGATACACAAACCCAGCATTCAGGTAATAATTTACAGTAAAATGTGGTTACATGTACATGCAAACACACACACATACATGGTATTATACCTCAAATGCTGAATGATAACAGGCCTTATTCAGTTAACAACATACCATAAACATCTTTCTACTTCAGCTAAAAGTCACTCAATTTTCTGGTATTTTTACTATTATAAACGGTTCTGAGATCAACTGTCCTCAGATGAAATTTTCGCCCATATCCCTAATTATTTCCTCAGGATAAGTTCTGAGATGTGGAGTTGCTTGCTATATGGTATATGTGTTTTTAAGGCTTTTTCCAGATGCTCCTAAATCATTCTGTAGAGACCTTATAGCAATTTACAATCCCATCAGCACTACATACGAGTACTCACCTCCCCACTTTCCCCCCAAAAGAAGTTAAATACTTAATCTTTGAGAAATTTGTAAAATAAAATGTTAATCTGATGCTTTCATTTTGCATTTGCTTAAGTCAGTGTTTCTCAACCTTCTGGCCCTTTAAATACAGTTCCTCATGTTGTGACCCAACCATAAAATTATTTTTGTTGCTACTTCATAACCGTAATATTGCTACTGTTATGAATCATAATGTAAATATCTGATATGCAGGATGGTCTTAGGCGACCCCTGTGAAAGGGTCGTTCGACCCGCCAAAAGGGTCGCGACCCACAGGTTGAGAACCACTGGTTTAAGTGCTAGAACTTGAGCTGTTTGTGCTTTATCGGCCATTTGTATTTTTTCTTTGGTAGACTGCTGATTCTTGTCCTTTGTCCACTTTTCTTTTGGTATATTTACCTTTTATTGATTTGTAAGAGCTCTTTATATGTTATAAACTTTAACCCTTTGTCAATGCTACATTTCTTAGTTTGCACTTGCCATTTAATTTGAGGGCATGTTTTGATCAGCAGATACTTAGAAGTATTGGAATGTTCATGGTTTGAATTGGCTATTGTGAAGAATGGGAACAGGATGTATCCAAAAGCAAACACAGAGACTGAAGCCCTATTTGAAAGGCTCAGCTGAGGTTGGACACCATGCATTTCTAATGAGGTCAATCTGCAAAGTTGGACCAGCATTTGGTTATTGGAGTGCAGTGGGAGAAAGCAGAGAAAGTAAGATTCACTCAGAGTTTGTATTTGCTTGATTTAATCAGACCCTGCACAAAGGAATGAGAGAGTTATGTGTACTAGCAAGTTTGTTGCTGAAATAATGGATCACATGGGACAAGATAAGAGATAACGGATGTGCTGGGAAGGGTCAGGGCTCCCTGTAGGTGAAAGCCAGACACAGCAGAATGAGATCATGAGAGAGCTACAAGGCTAGGAAATTTTCTACAATTTTCTTCCAATAAACTTATCTTATTGCTTCTGCTCCGTCTATTCTATTTCTTCTTTTAAAACAACAATGTATTTGTATCTGTTACATTTGCTTTCACATTTTACAGTTTCTTCATTCATTTCCTTTACAGTCAGGCAGTGTTCCCCATCAAAATCAGAATCGATGTTCGCCCATCACATCTATTGATTGGATTGAGCGCATTTTATTTTAGCCACTCAACTTTCCGTGGCCTTGTATCCTCTTTTTATCTTAGCCCACACTCACTTAATAGAAGCACTGTCTTCCTGCATCTCAAGCAGTATTTAATTCCAGAATATGGGGTGGGAAGGAGAAAAGTTGAAGAGAGAGCAAAACAGGGCCAAGCACCCTTTCAGCCTTAACAAGATCACAAGACACCCGGTAAACACCAAGCCATTCAATGAGTTACCACGCTCGATGGTCACAACTCAGGGTCCCGCTGGCCAAAGCGGAAGGCTGCCAGGAACCTCCTGTGCCGAGAGGAGTTCCAAAGTCCAGTACCCTGTTTGCTCTCAGCAGAGATATTTTCTTGCAACAGCTGATTTGCAAGTTTCCTTTGAGGCCTTGAAAACTCCAGATTCTCTCTGACACACACTTCATTTCGGGGGTGTCTTCACTATAGAGTTGAGGGACCGTATTCAATTGCTTGTAAAAACATGGTGCCAGAGTTTCAAACATCTCTTTTCCAGCCCCACTGTCCTTTTCCCCAAGAATAGCCTTGAAGCAAGAGCAAAGCTGGGGTGCCTCTGAGGTGGGCGCCAGGGAAGGGAGGCCCCAGGCACTGAGCTTCCTTCCCTGGGGAGGCAAGGAGCTGAGTGAGAGCCCGGGTCTCTGCTGATCCGAGAAGGGAGGAGCCTGGACTGGAGGCACGTGCGGACCACATGTTGCATCTTGCGAAACGGAAAGGAGCCAGCCCGGTATGCCCTGAGAAGCCCTCCTTCCTAAAATCAGGTTGCATGTCATCCAAGATCATCTCACAAAGAGAAGCCACGAGCTTCCCTTATCCCCAACCCTGGCTCACAGTTTCCATTGTACGTCGAAATGCCAGGCTTTGCGTCTGAACTCTGAAGTCCCCACATATCGACCCTGGTTAGAGAACTAGAAAGCGAAGCCAGTCCTCGCCCAGAGGGTATCATTGGAACTCCAGCCCCTTTCCTTCTATGCAACATCCAGAGAGCTCAGGTGAAGCAGAACGAAGTAAAATCAAACCAGCAAACAATTCAAAACGCACCCAAGCAGCAGGAAATCCGTTTGGTCATGCAAACCAGGAGCATTCTCATGCACTTTTTCTAAATGCCAGCTTGACTCAGGTATATTTCCATGTGTTTTTGAATGACTCCAGATGAAGGGCATCTGTTCCCAAGAAATGATCTTGAGCAGAAAGTCAGCCATCCTCCGAAAAGAGAACAACTTTGACCCAGGGAAGGGACAAATAGCAGACAGACTCTCCCAAACCCACACACCTTTTGTCTCCATGTTGCCCAGAAGGTTATGAAACACCTCACACAGTCCTGGAACGCAGGACACATGCACACACGCACATGTGCACACACACATTCACACACATACATGCACACGCACACTGGGTGGGGTTGAGAACCACTGCACAGAACTAGGCCAGGCTGAGGATACTCCATCCGGGTCTTTCACATCAGAGTTAAATGTAAAAGATGCACACAATAGCCCCAAGCTACTTCATTCACTCTTTTAAGCCCAAAAGGAAACCAAACATTTTCAGCAAGATAAGCTCTTGTCACCCCATCTGCCCAATTAGGGACTGCCATACTTCACTCTCAAAACACAGGACCTTTCATCTCATAACTCAGCACGGCAGAGCCCCTCTGCTATCATTGCACAGCATTTCTCTCCTGGATGCCCCCTGGCCCCAGCCCCAGGCCTCAGCCCCGGCCCAGCTGAGACCGGAGAACTACCTGAGATAAAGGAATAGGTGGCCAGGATGCTGCTGAGTAGAGCCATGTCCATGCGCTGGGCGGTCAGAGGCTCCGTGCTGCGGCGGAAGGGCAGCCTCCACGTGGCATCCAGAGGCGCCTCCCGGAGATGCTTCAGCGGGATCAGTGTGGCCCCTCCCTCTCTTCTCTTCTGTTTGGAAACACAAAGTGAGTGGAGAGAACACATCCCTCTGTCCTGAGGCTGTGTTCCAGGTAGCCCGGGCCCAAAACAAAGAGCTAGTCTCCTAAATGCCAGCCTGCCTCCCGCCGGGCATCTAGGTCCTGTCCTCTTTGCTCTGGCGAGCTTCTTGGCTTTCCAGGAAGGGAGCACCCCCTTACGTCTCTGTTTTGCCTGGCCTTTCTCCTTTCTCTTCCCCGTGTCTTCCCAACTTTACATTTTAGCACTCCTCCCTCACCTTGCCTGGTACTTTTTATTGTATTCTCCCTGTTTGCCTTTGCCCACGGTCACTGTAATCACTGCCCTGTAACCCCACGCCCAGCTGGCTCTCCGCCGGGCTCTGCTTCCCCTGCACCCACTGCACCTGTGTACTTTGATCAGCTTGCCTCATCCCACAGATCACCAAATGTGTGTCCTTGGCAATGAGTCCGAGCTGGCTACTCCAGACCTGCCAACGTGGTTCCCATTCTAAAGTGCCCCATGATTCTACCTATAGAGGGACCAGGCTATTTCAGACCTGTTCCCTCTTATCTCTTCTCACTCGTTCTACCATAGAGCAAATCTCATCATTTCATTTCTGGGAGTTGTGCACCAGTCTCCTCCCTAGTCCTTTGGCCAACACCTACTTCCTGCTCCATCTAGCACCCACTCTCACCAACAGGGTCATCTTGATAATGTGTAAATCTGACCACTTCACTCCACTGCCCAACCCTTTCACTAATCCCCATTACACTTAATACAACACAAATCCACTTCCACAAAATCGGATCCTTACCTCAGCTCCCAATTCATCTCCTACCAGAGTCTACAGCTACACACGTATATACAGAGATACAAGCCTGCCTAATGCTCCAAAAATTTCAGATTTTTTTTAGTGCCCCAAATACATCAAGCCCTTTTATCTTTTTGTGCATTTGATTGTGCTCATTCTTTGGCCTAAAATGCCCACCTCCCTTCACCTGTGTGGCAAATGTTTCCTTTAAGAGAGAATTCAAAAGTCCTATGGCAGTCCCCAAATCCCAATGATTTGTTTTGCAGAAATAGGAAAGTCCATACTAAAATTCACACGGAATCTCAAGGAATCTCAAATAGACAAATGATATTGAAAAAGAACTAAGTTAAAAATCTCACACTTCCTGATTTCAACACTTATTTCAAAGCTAAACAGTGTAGTCCAGCCACAGATGAATGAATAAACCAAATGTGGTATATACTACTCATAGCCTTAAAAGGGAAGGAAATTCTGACATAGGCTGCAACATGGATGAGCCCTGAGGACACTGTGCTAAGTGAAATAAACCAAACACAAAAGAATAAGTACTGTATGATTCCACGTATATGAAGTAGTGCCTAGAAACATCAGATTCATAGAGACAGAAGGTAGAATGGTAGTTGTCTGTGGTGAGGGTCAGAGGGGGATGGGAAGTTATTGTTTAATAGGTACAGAGTACAAAGTTTCAGTTTTGTAAGAAGAAAAGTATTCTGGGGATGGATGGTGGTTGCACAACAATGTAAATGTACTTAATGTCACTGAACTATACACTTAAAATGGTTAAGATGGTAAATTTTATGTTACATGTATTTTCCACAAATTATAAAATTAATAAAAAATAAGGTGTTGATGATGCACAACAGGAAATTTTGAATGTTAATTCATATAACGAATCCTGATATCAGATTTTGGTGTTAACAAGAATGGTATCAGAATTATTTTGTAATGATATTACAATTGAAGACAATAACATTCTAATTTATATCAGACTATGAATATGGCTTGATTTTTAGAAAAAAATATTATCTCTCGTATCAAAAATTGGATAGTAAGTAGTTAAAATCTATCACATTTATAGATTAATAGATAAAAACATATTGCATCAATAAATGCAAAAATGTGTTTTTATAAAATTTCATAATTTAAAAAAGGTCTACTGCAGGGAAGTTCCAAATCCTTCTCTTTTTTTTTTTTTTGCTATCAAAGTATCCCAATATTCTTCTAATAGTGCACCTATGGCATACTAATTAGAATGATCAGTTTGCATGTCTGTCCCCAAGACTAAAGAGGCATCATATAAATCCTTTTACTCAAGCACCTAACTCAGTGCTAATGAAAGGAGGCTCTAAGTGAATTCTAGCTGACTTGCTGGCTGGAAAACAGAAAGAACAATTAGGCCTGAGCTGTGTATGCTTAAGTCTCAGAGCGTATTTCTGAACAGGTCTGAGGGTGAGCCCCTTGAACTCTAAAAGGATACCGGGACTGACTGACTGAGCCGGGTGCCAAGTAGAGCACTTCCTCAGATCTATGAGAGGACCACGTGCAAGATGGAAGCTTTAAGTGGCACAGAAATTCTTCCTGCCTCTCCTCATGCCCCAGGTGCTAATGGAGAGGCCTGCAAGAGCCAGAGGCAGGAGGAAGAGGGAAAAGAAAGCAGGCCAAGGGTGAAGAAAAACAACCTCTAGGTGGCCCACCCTAACAATAATCAGGACACAGTGGCAAAAGTCAGCCTCGAGAGTAGGGGTCAGGACATCTTTACTGTAGGGCCAGAGAGTAAATATTTCAAACTTTGAGGGCCATGGAATCTGTCTCAGCTACTCAACCTTGTCACTGTGGTACAAAAGCCACCATAGACAATATGTAAATGAGTAAGTGCTGCTGTGTTCCAATACAAATTTATTTTTGAAAATAAGTGGACCCAATTTGGCCTAGGGACCATAATTTCCAGACCTCCAGTCTAGTTTTTACTCCTCAAATACAGTTCAAGGACCAACAGCGTTGACACCACTAGAGGCTTGTTAGATCTGCATAATCCTAGACACCACCCAAGACCCTCGGAATCCAAGTCTCATTGTACAAGATGCCCAGCAGAGTTTGCCCAGTAGATCTGTGATCCGCTTCAGCCTGAGCACTAAAATGCTCTAACAGCACAGGCCCAGGTGGAGTTTCGCTCAGTGCCTCCTTTATAAATCTGATCGAGGGCAGGAGAGCACTCCTCGCTGGCCCTGCTATACAGTTCGTTCTCCAACTGGCTCAGAGCACCTTAGTGAGGACACCAAGACCGAGGGCAGGACAGGGCAGAGGAGCTCCTGTTCGGGAGAGCTGCCAATGAGACAAGTCAGAGAAGTGAAGAACCCCAAACCCTGTGCTTCAACCCTTCTTCTCCCTGAGCCCTCCCTTAGGAGTCGTGGAACAGCTCCAGGTAGCTCTGCACATTTTCCACTGGCAGTTTGCCCTCTAATTAAAACATTACCCCACCTCCTCCTGTGATGGGTAATTTTATGAGTTAACTTGACTGGCCATGGGGCATCCAGATCCAGCATTATTTCTGGGTGTGTCTGTGAGGGTGTTTCCAGATGAGATTAGGATTCGAATTGATGGACTCACGAAAGTAGATGGCCCTCGCCAGCGTGGTGGGCATCATCCAATCTGCTGAGGGCCTGCATAGATCCAAAGGTGGAGGAAGAGGGGATTTGCTCCTTGTTGCCTGCCTCACTGTTTGGGCTGAAATATCCATCTCATCTCATCTTCTCTGGCCCTCAGATTGGGCTTCAGGCCATCAGCTCCCCTGGCTCGCAGGCCTGCAGACTCAGGCTTTTCAGCCTTTGTGATTACATGAGCCGCTTCCTCATAATAAATCCATATGTAGCCCTAGCCGGTTTTGCTCAGTGGATAGAGCGTTGGCCTGCAGACCAAAAGGTCCCGGGTTCAATTCTGGTCAAGGGCATGTACAGGAGGCAACCAGTCGATGTGTCTTCCTCACATCAATTTCGATGTCTCTCTCTCTCTCTCTCTCTCTCTCTTCTACGCTCTAAAAATCAATGGAAAAATATCCTTGGGTGAGGATTAAAAAATAATTATCTATATAATCTCCATCCCACTGGTTCTATTTCTCTGGGGAACCCTGATTAATACATCTACCAATATAAAGGTAAGGGGCATGAAGCACTGATCCACCCCAAAGTGCAGTTTTGTGCTCTATTCTTCAAGGAAGCTCCTTGTCACTGGCTATAGCTCCTAGAACAGTGATTCTCAACTTTGGGCAGTTTGCCCCCCAGGGAATATTTGACAATGTTTGGAGACATTTTTGCCTGCCACAATTGCAGTGAGGGTTGATGTGGCATCTAGTGGGTAGGGAGCAAGGACACTTCTAAACATCCTACAATGCACAATAGCCCTCCCCCCACCAACAAAGAACTATCTGGCCCAAGATATTAATATCTTCAGGTTAAGAAATCCTGTTCTAGAACAAACATCATTACTTCACCGACCAGTCTAAGTGCCCCTCAGTGTTTGCGAACCTCATGCACATCACCAATACAATCAGAAATGTGTCAGAGAGACAGCCTGCATGGCAGCTTCTGGCAGCCTTGATCAGGGCATCACAAATCCAAGCCCTGGGCTGGCAACTCAGTGTTCCCAGCAACCAGAGTGAACAGGTTCTGGGAGAACAACTCACATTAACCGAGCCCTCAAGAGAACAGAACATCAACCAATACCAGCTTAGTCATTCACTAGAAGCTGGTGCACGAATTCGTGCACAGGTGCGGTCCAGCCAGCCCACCCCTATCGGTGCTGATGGGGGTGGGGCCAGCCGGGGGGAGGGGCTGTCCCCTGGTTGAACTCCCAGTGGAGGGGACAATTTGCACATTAGCCTTTTATTATATAGGATAACTGGGGAGCCACCTGCCACAAGATATCAAGTCCTCCTCCAGATAATGTGACCCTGGGGATTATGTTGGTGAGGGCAAAATTAGGACTAAGGAGCTGTAGATTTCCAAAGCTAAGGCTTTCTTCTTCTAGTGACGACCCCTTGGTTAATCTTACACTATTCTGGGGAAAAATCAGGTCTAGAGAAAACTCTAGGCCCAGTCAACCAGCATCACAGCATGCTCTCATTGGACAGAGCCTACCAATTCTTATAAATCTTCCCTTCTGACAGCTTCCTTTCACCTGTGACCCAAAGCTCCTTCACCTAATTGCTGACAAACTGCAACATGATTGAAAAGAGATAGGTCACATCTCAGAATTTTGCCTTCCTGAACACATGCTGGTCTCCTTGATGAACATAACAACCCATCCTATGGGTACTGCCTTCTAGATTGAATGGCTGATTGCATGTTGTATGCTGTTTTTCACTGGCTTTCATGTTAAAGGTAACCTCATTTCCAATGCTGCAAATTCATCTTCTCTCGATTCATTTACATCGAGTGTAATCACTGAATGTATAAAATGAAATGTCCCTTGTGATGATACATTTCATCTTAAATTGCAGTATCAACAGTGAGCACCCCTGGTATGTAAGCGCCCATGCAGGGAACTGTCTTATTACATCATAGTGTGCAGAGGCTGGTAAGAAATCTCATTGCCCCTTAGCTACCTGGGGGAGGTGTGCTGTCAGGAACAGAGGAACCTCTGGTAAGAACAGTTCATCTCTGGTGACATTAGTACCCAGCAGTACAGGTCCCGAAACTTGGTTGGCCCCCGTTAGCTTCTCGGGCTCTGAAAGAAAACAGAAATGGCACAACAACCATCAGAGAGCATCACACGCCCAGGAGGTCACAGCACGCACTGCACTTGGTGTCGTCATGAACCCCTGAGCAGAGTGCCTTGGTGATGTTTTTTTAAAAAAAATATATTTTATTGATTTTTTACAGAGAGGAAGGGAGAGAGATAGAGAGTTAGAAACATCGATGAGAGAGAAACATCGATCAGCTGCCTCCTGCACATCTCCTACTGGGCATGTGCCCGCAACCCAGGTACATGCCCTTGACCGGAATCAAACCTGGGACCTTTCAGTCCGCAGGCCGACGCTCTATCCACTGAGCCAAACCGGTCTCGGCGCCTTGGTGATGTTTGTCTGGATCCCTATAGAGATGGGATACCAACCCTGAGAGGGCAAAGCCCACGGCCAATTAAACCTGGAATTTGAACCAGACGGCCAGAGAAACCGACCTCCCAAGGCCATAGCAGAAAGGAAAGCAACGGGTAAAAGATCAAAGACACATGCTTCCTCTTCCCTCCCGTCAGCCAAAACCCACAAAACAGCTAGTGTGGGATGTGTCCGCATGGGCCCTCGTCAGTGAAGTCTGAGGACAGCCTGTCTGGAACAGGAAGGGAGGGGATTCGGTTCCCAGAGAGCAATGCCCAGATGGGCCATGAAATGAAGTCTCGGGACGCCTGTGTGGGTATGAGAAACCTGGGAACGCCGATGCGTGGACTCCCGCAGCCTGTTTCTGTCATCCAGAAGTCTCAAGGCCTCCGCTCACCCAGCAAGGGAAGCCAGTGGGGCCTCTGGGAGGCCTGGGTCCCACCCAGACACCCTCATTCATTTGTCATCACTGCTCCCTGCTGACTCCCACAGCATCCGACTGCTGATGGTTTGTTTGCGTCTTTATAGGTACTTATCTCCACTGCCGCTGCCTCACCAGGACCTGTAGCACCTTCCTATCGCCATGTTACTGGTGAGGAAGTGAAGGAAGGACACTTGCAGCACAGCCCTGGGAGTTCTTTGGAGGCTCGTGCACCAAAGAGTGGAAGCAGCTCTCTGAGCCGTGCTCACCCTCCACCCCACACTAAGGAAAACAGCCCTAAGGACTGGCCCCAGCGTGGCCACACAGAGTCTGAGATGCAAGGGCTTCGGTGGAAAATAGGTCCCACAGCACAGGATGGAAAGAGGATACATGTGGGCCCCAACTGAGCAGAGGGAAAGCCGATTTTCTCTGCGGGACTGACAAACACCTGTGTGTAGAGGCCACATCCAACACGCCGGCCCGCCAGCTGTGCGGCTCCCTTGGCTCGGCCAACCTTCCCCCCAGCCCACTGCAGCAAACCATTCCCAGGGACATATCCTGGACCTTGTCGTCACCTGCAAAGTGCTGACTCTGGAATTTGGGCTGTGAACTCCTTCAGGACAGAGGCTGTGTTTTTGTTCATCTCTGTGTTCCCAGAGTCCCCCACAGTAAGTGCCCAGAGCTGACGTTGAGTGACAGTTGATGAATGAATGACTCACACTTAGAAATCCCACTCTCCAACCAGAACTACCATCCTTCTGCCTTTCACTCTTGGAATCAAAGTACACATGCTCCCAACCTTCTGAGATCTCTGGCTCCTTATAATCTCCAGCTCACCCAGGGTACAAGTCTCATCCTACAATCACTTTTCTCTGCACAGCCTGGCTACTGTAACTACACCACACTCGGCTCTGACCAGGACCTTTCTGCTGCCTTCCCTGCTCCCCTCCCCCCTCCCCCGGTCTAAGCACAGGACTCCTCCAGCCCTCATCTGCCCATTTTCCTGCCCACAGGCTGAGTGCTTCTGAAAAAAAAAATCATTGTTATTTGCATCATTGCAAATGCTTGGCTTATATCCTCAGTGAGGCCTTGTGTTGCTAGGAAACTCTACATGGCCCTGGCATGGCACCTTCTCGTTTTTAAGAGGAAATGTACCAAACCTCTGCCTCTTTCTTCCAGTCCTCTTCTCTGGCGTGCCCCATTTTCCCAGAGAAAATCGGGGCCAGCCTCCATGAACTGTAATTTACCCCTGTTCCATCCGATCCTGACCTTTCTCCCTCCCATCTCTAAGGAAGATTTTACCTGTTCTTTTAATCAAATAATTTCCTCCTTCTTCCTATAAGATTCCATTCCATCAATGATTTATCTCTCTTTCACCTTCCCTTTATTGACTGATCTCCATCTCTCTCTCTATAGTGACAGGCAGACAGATAGAAAGATAGATAGACAGATAGATAGATAATAGATAGATGATAGATAGATAAGAGAAAATAGATTTTGTTTATATATCTATATCTATATAGCTATAAACTACCTTAAACTTTGTCTCTCCCTTCCTTCTCCTCTTGTCCCCTTCTCTCTGTGTATGTGACATATATATACACAGAGGAGTATATGCATAAATATGCAGGTGTACATTGTACACACATGTATATATCTATGTGTATATATTCATATATACACATCTATTTCTTTCTCTCAAACATTTTCCTATTCTTCATCACGTCCACTGGTTACAAGCCCCAACACGATGTCAGTGGAGAACAGATGGGACCAGAACTCCGCTTCTCAGGCAGCAGTAATGAGAAGCCAATCGATACATGTCAACACCAAGATGACAGAGATGTTAGAATTATCTGACAAAGACTTAAAGCAGCCATGATAAAAACACTTCAATGAGCAATTGTGAATTGAAACAAATGGGAGCAAACAAACAAACAAAACACATAGAATCCTCAGCAAGGAAATAAAAAGAAATCCCAGTAAAGAAATAGGAGACATTTTTAAAAAATTAAAATTTTAGAATTAAAAAGTATAATAACCAAATTAAAATTAGTAAATGGGCTCAAATAGCAGAACGGAAGGGACAAAGGAAAGAATTGGTAAACTGGAAGATAGAATAGAACTTACTCAGTGGGGCAACAAAGTGAAAATAGACCAAAAAAGAAATTTAAACAGAGACTTAGGGATCTATGAGACCATATATATCTATATCTATATCTATATCTATATCTATATCTATCCCCAGAAGAGAAGGAGAAAATCGGCAGAACTGAAAAATCAATAAAAGAAATAATGGTTGTAAATTATCCAAATTTGACAAGAGACATAAACCTACAGATTCAAGAAGCTGAGCAAATCCCAAACAAGCTCATTAAACTCCTGAAAATAAAAAGCAAAGAAGAAAAATCTTGAAAGCAGCCTGAGAAAAAGGATGTCTTAGCTATAGATAAGAGAGAGATCAGAAAGAAGTAAAACTGTCCCTATTTGCAGATGACAGGGTGGTCTACATAGAATATCCCAAGGAATCTGCCAAAACAAAAACAAACCAAAAAGCCCTAATAAGTAAATTCAGTAAGGTCACAGGAGAGGCAATCAAAACATACAAAAATCAAGTTTACTTCTGTATACTAGCAAAGAACATGTGCACAGTGAAATTTAAAATAAAATACAATTTACAATTGCTCAAAAAATGAAATACACCTGATCCATGTTTCTCTCTCACATTAATGTTTCTCTCCCCGCCCCCCCTCTGTAAAAATCAATAAACATATCCTCTGGTGAGGACAAAGAAAGGAAAAAAAACTTAGATCCTATATAATAAAAGGGTAATATGCAAATTGATTGAACGGTGGAATGACCGGTCACTATGACACACACTGACCACTAGGGGCAGACCCTCAATGCAAGAGTTGCCCCCTGGTGGTCAATGTGCTCCCAAAGTGGTAGCATGGCTCAACCAGAAGCCAGGCTCATGGCTGGCAAGCACAGCTGTGGTGGCGAGAGCCTCTCCCGCCTTTGTGGCAGTCAGACATCCCCTAAGGGCATGGGCCTGGCTGAGGGACCCTCTTCCCCGCACCCCCTAGTACACAAATTTTGTGCACCAGGCCTCTAGTATAAATATAACAAAACATGTGGAGAACTTGGATACTTAAAACAATGCTGTGGAAATGAAAGATATAAACAAATGAAGGGACATACCACGGCCACACACTTAAAGACTCAACATAATAAAGATACTATTCTCCCCAAATTGTTAAACAGGTGTAGTGCCATTTCTGTTAAAAACACCAGCAAGATTTTTTTGTAGCTATAGATGAGATTATGCTAAAATTTATATAAAAATGCAAAGGAACTAATTTGAAAAAGAATAAAGTGGGAGAAGTTAGTCCACTCTAGTTCAAGACTTATCACCAACTATATTAATCAAGATTGTGTGTTATTGCAGAGAGATAGACAGGCAGATCAATGGAACAGAGCAGAAAACCCATACATACTAGTAGGCCCACACAACTATGCCCAACTGATATTTGACAAAGGTGCAAAAGCAATTCAAAAAAAAAAAAAAGAAAGAAAGAAAGAAAAGAATAAAAGCTACTCTGGAAAAGTTTGGCATTTTCTAAACAAAACAAAACAAAAACAAACTAGATATGAGATTATCATGCAACCTAGGAATTGCATTTTTGGGATTTGTCCCAGAGAAATGAAGATTTATGTCCACATAAAACCCACGCAGATATTTATAGCAGCTTTATTTGTAATAGCCCAAAACTGGAAACAACTCAAACTTCCTTCAATGGGTGAATATTCAAATAAACTATGGTACATCCATACCATGGTACACTACTCAGCAAGAAAAAAAGGAACATACATTTAACACATGCAACAGCCTGAAGGAATCTCTAGAAAATTATTCTGAGTGAAAAAAACGCAATCCCAGAAGGTCGCATATTGTATGAGTTCATTTATATAATAGTCTTAAAATGTCAAAATTATAGAAGTGGGAACAAATGAGTAGTTTCTAATTTGGTAACAAATGAGGAGTTAAGGAAAGAGAGAGATTAGAGGGAAGGTAGTGTA